TTCGTTGTTCTTCATTTCTAGCCTTTGTCATCTTCATCACCTTCTATTCGGACTTTGAAGCATGAGCAATACCTCAAATGTTAGGAAATTGCGTTTTGCTTGTATTGTCATGTTGTCCGTTTTTATTGTCATGTTCTGTGGGAATGCGCGGCCTCTGAGGGATATTGCAGAAGCAGCACAGTTGCTCTTGAGTTCTAGCCCTCGTCATCATCTTCGGTTCTTATTTTGCAGCACCTAAAATGTTATCCGCATAAAGAAATTGCGTTGTACTTGTATTCCAAAGCGCAATTACAGGACTTGGCAAAAAGCCAAGAGAGCTGCACGCGACCGCGCCGCGCGGACGGTGTTAGCATAAACGTGAGGCGCGGTGTAGCAAGGAATTACGACTTTCCCACGGCCCGTACTCTGACCCCGTGCAGTTTTGGGCGGGGGGACCACGACACATCGACAGCTGGGGGCTGATAGTCTCATACACCCTCAATGTGTTTGAGCGTACCATGTGTCTTTAAGCAAAGTCCACGCTGAAGGTTGGCCGTTGTAGGTTAATGAGTGCTCTGATCCGAATTTGGCACTTTCTTCTAGCTGTGTTGTCCATTATTGCCGTATTCGAGCCACATCTTTCTCATACTGGATTCTTAGCGCGCTATTCTGGCACAATATTGTATCGACGTCAGAAATAAGTGTTAGAATCTTGATCAGGACCTATAGGCAAATTTTTAACCAAAAAATTCTTTTGACTTTTCCGGGTTGCGATAGACCATTCGTTCGGCAAAGATAAGTGATGGCGTTAGGATGACGTAGCGGGCCGTCATGCAGTGTCGCGAATTTGGTGAGCTAAAGGTCTTTTCATGCTTGTCATAAGCCTGGGTGGACGAGAATGCGTGAAAAACCATCCTGGACCTTCTCAACCCCCAGACTGGTCGCTCAACAAAAACGTTGTTATACTCCTCACGTAGAGCAGGTACTCATTCCACTTTTTCAAATGGACCTGGGAGCACTATTACCCTTATTTTTCCATGAATTTAATCGTTGTCGTTAGCTTTATCAATATGGAAAGAGTTGAGTTACTATGCAAGTGCGTCCTCGTGGAAAAGCTCTAGGGCACCTCATCAACAAGCGCGGAAAAGTGAGGAAAATTGTTTTGGTCAACTCGCCTACGGGGGTATTTGATGGTCCTGATCCTGACACTTATTCATTGCTTCGTCGCAATCTGGAGTCAAAATAGCGCGTAATATCCCTTATATGGGTGCACACAAGGCTGCGTTCATACTTTGCGACAGCGTACGCCAGCCACCGGTGTACGGCCGCGCTTCCAGCGTCTGGGAGCCTCAGTGACTGGGTAGATGTCGATCTTTTCAGCGTTCACCAGCGTTTCCGCCGTTTCACTAACATTCACCGAGCGGCCGGGTGTAGATATGGGGGGATAGGAAGGAGCAAGCTGCAGGAGTAGGCTTTGTGCAATTGCGGGATGTGTAACCGTACCGTACAACCACACTACACCGTCACCAAATCGCATTGTTCAGCTTTAGCAATTCTTGAAAGTGGTAAGAAGCTCGGAAAGTTGGCAAGATAATAGACAGGGTCGGGAAGGGAATCGTAAAGACGACGAAATTGCGGGAAATAGTTCGTATTTCCTGTAAACTCCTCCAGCGGCAGGGCGTCCTTGAGTGACGAGTAACGCTATATGGCCTGTTCTAATCCACATTATTCTTATAGCTGCCTTACAATGCATAACTCCGACTGGTTCAAAGCCACTCCTTTTGACTGATTTAAGACATGCATGTCGCGTGTGTTTAATTTAAGTTTTTCAGAGCTTGGAAGATTGTAATAGCCGTAATTGTCGTAATTATAATTTTGGCTGCACTTGGAGCAATCATTTGGTTGGCGCGTAAAAAGATGAAGGTTCGCATCACCGTCTGCAATCCTTATCTCTTTTTATATGGCGTTGAACCTTGTATATTCTTCATTCTGTTCAGAGCCCGAAAGAAGTTGTCGATATGGGCTCCACGAATTACCCGCTCGGAAATGCATTCAGATTTGAACGTAAGACGGAGTTTTAAGCGTGAGACGGCGCTATTCCCCTCAGGCGGTGGAAAGAACATTTTTGTATTAGGTTGTCCGGAAAATGGTACAGATTTTCAGCCTCGATTTTCAAAATCAAGTTCTTCAGCATTGGGTAATCCTTTTCGATTGAATTGAAAACTACTACAATTCACGGATCTCTCTCAAATAGAAGCTAATAAGCGAATTCGCTGAAGGTAGTTTCCATATAGGCTTGGTTGATGGCGCCTTGCTCAAACAGGGATATGTCCAGGTGCTTGAAAAAGTGATAATCAGTGAGAGTCCTGAGAATATTATCGATAGAACAAGGTTCGATGGCCTATTTTCTTCAAATTCTGCAATACCGGTTGTGGTACAGGTGGTCGCACGTTTTCATGCATGTGAAGGAGTCCTTTTTTTGACAAGTGCAGTATACGGACTTTGAAGCTTCTACTGTATTTCGCAAACACCCTGGTTGTATTTTACTGTCGTTGTCGGCTCATCTGGATCCAGGAAGGTATAGTGAGTAAATCTCGTTACATCGTTACAAACCTCCTAGAAGTGTGCATCACCTTCTTCAAAAGCGATTTCGTTTCAAGATTTCAAAAGCGTTTGGAGAGATGCTGCAGGGTTTTTCAGCGCTAATACTGACAAGGAAACCTCCAGCAAGTCGATAAGGCCGTTTAGTGGAGGGTGCATCGTTGTGCGCATGAATGTATTCCAAAACGAGAGCAAGAAACTATGAGGTACAAAACCTGCATCAGGTTCCGGACAGCCCAATGCTCATAAGCAACGATATGACCGAAGTGATACGCGACGAAATGATACAGTTTTCATGTTCTCAATGACGTGCAGAACGGACGCGTTGTGTTAAACTGCAAATAAGACATTTTTATGTAGACCAAAGTTGACGGAAAGCCTCGGCAAAGGCAGGTCTAGTACGGGTGATAGATGTGCAGTGAAGAACAGGCCGTATATCCTATCTGCCAACATTCCTCTCAAGTCACTAGTTTCATAATAGAATGGTGTGCATCCAAAAGCTCTTGGTGAGCTCGCTTCGACGCATTTGAGTAGGTAACGGACGCTTTCTGAGGGACAGGTAGCGCAAGCTTCAATCGTTTGTTTTATTCTTTTTTTTTTCTTATTATTTTATTAAGTCGCGTTAAATTGCGTCCGTACTCAGCTTTAAATGGTATCTAGTTTTATTCGTGTTATTCCTATCGCGTAAATTATTTTGAGAAGGTCGGATATTCACAACAAAAGCCATTTAGGGAAAACAGCGTCAGTGAGCATCGCAGTTTTAGTTTTTAGTGCTTCTGACTGAGAACTTTACAATTCCATTTTTTGCAGATGAGACGAATAAATTTACGTTCATGTTTGATGACTTTACATCACGTATGAAAAATGTCGGTTGTCAGTAATATTAAAATTGACAAGTTAGTAATAGAATTTCGTTGCTATTCGTTTTGCTAAAACATAGATTATACTTGAAATCTCGAGCAGTTTGTTAGACGTGCTAGTATTTGGAGGAGAGTAGGTTCGATAGGAAGCTTACTTGAACCATGGTTTATGGACTATTACGCTGCCGGAGATTCTGCTGGCCTCAAGTGACAACCGGCACGACAGTGCTTTGCAGCTGCTGCAATAGACTATACTTAGTGAAGCCATAGTCGAGACGGGCCACGATGCAGTTGTAGAAGAGTTTTTCACCGTAACACAGTGCGACCTACCTTTGAGAGGGCGAACCACTACTGAACCCGCTCTTCTCGATCAAGTCACTGACCCGAAAACTCCTTTTTCGAAGCCTCAGTTTCTGCGTCACTGTCAGGTCTTGTTTGTGACGGTACATTTTTGGATTGCTCATTTCATCCAATTTGCCTCCACCGTTTCTTGTTTGAAGTTTGTTCTTCCCGCATGTCTGGACTCGGCCTGAAAATCGCTCTACCACTGTAATTTGCAACTCTACGGCGTTCCATAACAGAGAGGCAGTTCTCGCACACTCAAAAACCCCACTCACACTGGCCGCAGGGCCAGCCGTCTCGGCAACGAACTCTTCCCCGCATCTGCAGCAGGTGGCCTTGTAGATCACTCTGAGCTGATGCAGTCGCCCTTCCGACGAGTTCGACAAATCACACAGTGGTTGTTGTGCATGAGCGGTCACGCATCTGATCACCTGTTTGGTGACTATTGATAACAGCAACCAGATTTTCTGAACCCTACATTCTTAGGCCCTTCTTGACGGGAGTGTCAATTTCTTCAGAGACCTATGGGGCGGCATTCTCCCATGAACAGCTCGTTTACTATCTTTGCCGGCTTTATCCGGTCTGGCTCTGTCGGAGATCCAGATTTCATCGCAATTCATTACAGAAGCTTCGCGTGCAAGCCTCGGTGACTCCTGTCGCTCTTTCCCTCCGGTGAGGATGAGGGCCCGAAGTTGACGATAATGTTTTTCTTACGAGGCTTTGTACTCCTGTAGAGGCTTGCCGTCCTGAAACGATGCTTGGATGCCCAGAGATTAATGTTGATTATTCTGTTAATAGAGATTCTTATTTCACAATAGATTATTCATACTTTATGAGGGAAGAAAAATTGATATTTACCTCTAGACGTGGGCACCCTGTGACTTTGACTCAAGAATATTCGTAGTGTGTCTTTTTTTGACAGTGTAGTTTTGTAATTTTAAGTTTTTCAGTTTGTTTCGTATTTTTTTACAAAATAGGGTTATTAAATAAGCTTTTCTGCAGTGCTATTGACAACCGTTTGAAAATTGACGCTTCATCTCTTCATTTCGAAACTGAAATCGGAAGAGGTACAGAACAATGTTTCATGCTTTGCTCTCCGGTGACTACTTTGGATGCTGTCTGAAAGATTGTTTTAGGACACTTCGGAATTGTTAGTCGGGCAACTTATACCGCTCCAGACGGAACGACGAAGAAAGTCGCCTGCAAAATTCTTAAACAGAAGGTAGAAGGCGTTGGCGACTTCATCCTCGAAGGTTGGTATCGTTTTAGAATCTTTGTCTTTTGCCGAGCAGAGTGATAACTTTGTGAACCATAAGACTGACTGGAGTACCTATTTGAATTGGATTAAATCGCATACACACTAGTCGTACTATTTGTCGTGTAAACTCGTGGAATGGTGTACGAATGTTCGTGACGCGGACATTCCCCAGCTACAGAAACCCCGCTTGATGATACAACTTATCCATCCACTCTCAACTGTATTAACCTGCATGCAAAGTTTCCACAAACGGAGTCAAGGTTAATGTTGTTATCAGTACGATAACTCCTCTCCCCTCAACTCTATCCTCCATAGGTCCCTTCTACATGGAAAGTAAATTCCTAGAAAATGCGTCGAGAATAACTTCTGAAAATGGGTGCATATTCCTCCAATGATAACGTTTGGTAGAAGGTTGGAATATTTGTTTGGGAACTTTATTTATTGAGGGGTCGACGAGTATGATGTAGAACCAAAAGCATGACTCTCGTAGGAGAACCTCGTCAGGTTTCGTTGCTGATATATTAGGTTGGACGGAAAGTCCTGCGACACTTTGATTGAATTGTTCTAGAAAAAGACCAAAAACATTTCGAATGTTTTCATCCCTGATTAGTGGAGACTGTCCTCTGGGGTTTCGGTAGGTATATGGGTATAACATGACTGTGTGGAAGTTCTCAAAGCTTAAAAGTCGCCTAAGAGATCGAGGTACTTTGTTTCGGCGTCCCATATTGGCAGTTCCTGTAGGGCCAATCGCCGCTAGTCGAAGGAGCTAGACTGAGAAGGATATAGCTTGCCAGGGCGGAAGGGTGCTTTTCATCAGCGCTTCCAAGCTGGACTACTCAATCGGGTAGCATGTATGGTCGGCCACAGCACAGATGGCGGCCGTTTTTCAAGCTCTCGAGCGCAGCCGAAGTAAACACAGCTAAGGTTGATCAATCTCTCTTGAGGCTCCATCTAACTGTAAACTGCCATGCTTTCGGCAATTCTCGGTCTCGTGATTCCTTTCTGTGGAGTATGTTTTCAATTGATTTGGGGCCAGCCTGACGGAAGCGACCACCGGATAGCCGTGAGCTGAGTTTTTTTTCTTGTATCACAGCGAAATGATCTGCGAGTCCTCTGTTTGTTAGGGGAGTGGTTGTAGTTCCTTGCGTAAATATGCACGATTCCTCGCAGGACTTCTCAAGGAGAAAAGTAGGTTACTCAGTCAAGAGCAGATGTTCATGGAATAAAGATTTCGTGTGTTATTGGTGAGACTTCAAAGCGGTATCGCTGGATATTAGCACATCTGTAAAGACCATATTCCACTAATTCAATTCAAACATGGGTGACGTCGATCGTTATTCATTCTTAGAAACCCAATTTTTTCTACCACTCGGCAATCCCGCATGTGGGGATCAGGCTACGCCAAAAGGTTATGGATCTCGATCAGAAAATGCAACCGTACTCAGCATTATCGAAGTTAGAAGCCTCTGATTACTAGCTTCGTTTGATGTCCTACCGCTCTTTTAGAAGCAAAAAATCCGGAAAATTCGACAGTCCACTCAAAATGAACTCCATATCTTTCTTTTTATCATAGTTGCCGTCTATGAGAATGGAAATGAGAAGCTGTGCAAAAGAAGGGCACTAGTCCTAGTCATCAACTGCGGTTACCTTGTAGATTGGAGGTGTCTTTTAGTGAAGAAAATTTGGTCCGAAAATTTGGTCAAAGTGTCGCAGGACTTTCCGTCCAACCTAATATCTTCACCACTTCTCCTCAAGCGTTTTTGATGGCGTGGCAGGGACGCCTAAAAAGCACTCAGAAATCGACACATAAGCTCATCCACCGTTATTTCCACCGCTTGTGTAGTATACACATTGTACTTTAGTAGCGATGTTATGATACCTCACTGTCCTGTTTACATCAGGGAGCTTCATCGCTGTGAGATCTTTATATCCTAGTAGAGAAGGTCTATATTCTACTGCATGTGGAGAATAGGGCTGGTCAAGGGTAGTGGTTAGAAACAAGCGTATAGGAACACTTGTAATTTGCAATTGTGAAGGCTGACTCTAACCAGGAAGGTCGTTCAGGGCGTGCCCCGCTTTTTCGAAACGGTTTATTGCACTTTGTAGGGCCTTGCCCATGAACCATAAAAGTGGGCTTCGTTTTGGCTGAGCGGCCCCAGGAACGCCAAAAAAGGAGCGAAAGGTACGTCTATGTACCCCCATATGAGGGACGTTAAGCGCTATACTGGCGCCAAATTGCGTCGACGTCGAAAATAAGTGTCAAAATCGTAATCAGGACCATCGATTACCCTTATGGACGAACTTCCAGCCAAAATTTTT